AACCCCCCCCCCGCCCAATATGTCAGGATATCCCTGGCAATGGGTGCCAGAAAGCCTAATTAGGAGTGTCCTAATCAAGGTAAAAGAACATACCACTACCACAAAGTGAAATGGTATTGACTGTAGACAGTTATGATGCTTGAGCCAAACCAATAAACACTGTTAGAAGTCTATTGCTTTACAGCTTCCACCTGAAATTCATTTGTCTACAAAATGCTGTAAAAATACAAACCTCTTTCCACTGAGGTATAAGAAGCACTATAATGATGATGGTTTTCTCAAATGTCATAATCATTATGTACAGAGTACATTGGCCTACCCAAGCACTGCACTGCAGTGGGTCACCTGCAAGAAAGAAGAAAGGTTCAATACATGCATAGGGTTGATTTTACTTCACAGTAAACATTTTAGAAAAGTAGTATTAGAAGAGGCAGGGCAGCTATATCCTCTTTAAGTGCCTTCTCCGATTTTTTTAGTGCTGCTCCTTCCCCTCCTTCAGCCTCACCCCAACTTTCAAAAGTATCAGTTAGAAACTGAATATAACAGGACTTTATCTGATTCAGCCGTACCTGGTTATACACTCACTGTTCTACACAATCTGATGAAAGCAAGACAGATATAGTTGCATTACATTTGTTTCTCATCAAATTGTTATTTTTTGACCCTCTGTCATGAAGTATTAAGTTTCTTAATAGGGAAAACTTCAGGGAAACATAACTGGGGAAAAACATATTTCCCTTCAGTCTAAGTAGAAACGTGATGATTTCTGCCATTCTTCCTTGGCTACCTTAAACATATTTTTCCCCTCTACAAAGTTAGTTACCATAACTAACCAATCACAATTAAAGCAACAGGTGCAAGAGGTGCTATGAAAAATTTAATTGAACAAAAAATTAAGATCACATTTTAGTTTCCATCTGAAAGGGCTTGAAATTCTGCTGCACCCCATTGTGGCTGAATGAAAACCTGAGTGCATTAAGTTATCTGCCAGGACAGAATGAAGACCACAAATATTTGAACATGAAAACTTCTGTAGACTATTATACTCTATAAAAGCAAGGCGGGGGGGAGGAGGAAAAAAAAAGTGAAAAAGAGGATCGGTACGCCTAACAAGCTTTGCAAGTGAGCTTAAAGCAGCACTTCACTGGAAACCAAAAGGAAGCTTTGGAGGCAGGTGGTAGCTCTTTAGTCTTCACGATAGTCTTCTGCAACATCTTCAAAGACAGCTTAAAACTTTCAGCCTGGGGATGAATAATGGGCAATGGAAATTCAGATGCCTTTATGTATTTGTAATGCATAATGGATAATTGTTACTTCCTTTTCTGGAACATTTCTGAAAGGCATTCAGTATTAATACTTGGTAAGAGTCTTCATACTTACTGTTTGCTGCCTAAATGCTATGATGATAAACTGATAAATCAGACTGGAGTCCAAAATAAAGAAATCTTCCCAGACAAGTTTTACAGTAAGAGCTAGTGATCAACACTCAATAGTCCAAGAGGAAAATGGTTAAAATGCTCAAGTTTTACAATTATAGACTGCAGTTTATGTCTTCTGTTGTAAAAAAAAGTTAGAAAATTTGAAAAGGGAAACACCGGTAATTCAAAGTTAAGCAACCGTGATTCTTCTGAGGATACAAGGCCTGAATTAAATTTGAGAATTAAATTTTAGCAATTAATTTCTATACTCCATGTTTTTACTGGCATTCTCTAGTTTTCTTTGTTAACTAGCAAATGTGAAAAAAAAAATAATCTCGCTTTACCTACAGACTTACCATTGAAACTTTACCAGTTTATTCTAAGTTCTTTTCCAATCTGTATTTAATTCCTAAAAGCAAAGACAGCTATAGCAATTTTGCACCCATTCCAATTCAGTCAGATGAGATTTTTTATGTCCAAAAATTGTGAAACTGTGTATTAAGAATGTTGTGCATTATCATCAATGCCCGTTTTGTTCCATGATGTTATTGCGGGGAGGGGCGCTGGTTTTTTGGGGGTTTTTTTTTGGTACATGACTGAAATTAGAAGTTGTGTATACTGAATTCTACTTGAGGATTTTTGTGTGCTCTACTACATCTACAAAATTATCTCTCAGCTCTCCCTCTCCCGCGGGAGAACAGGGATGCCGTCTACTTTGACTTTACCAAGTCTTTTGATAGCGTCCCAATAGCATCCTTGTAGAAAAGTTGGGGAGACATAGACTGGATGGGTGGACTTACAATTCTGACATAAAAGAAAAAAGTTTTCACAATGAGAGTGGTTAAGTACTGGAGTACGTTGTTCAGAGAGGTTCTTAAATCTCAAACCATGGATAAATTAAACACTGGACTGGATCACACCCTGAACAACCCGCTTTAGCTTTGAAGTTAACCCTGCTTAGAGCAAGAGGTTGGATTATATGATCTCTGGAGACCCTTTCCAACCAAGTTTTTTTTACGATTTTACAAACTATGGCATTCAAGAGAAAATGTAGACGTTAGTAACATCACCACATCCAGGAAGTGTTCCCAAGAATATTTGGGACATTTGTACATTCAAAGATTCAGCACACAAACTCAAATTAGAACTTTGAAGTTAATGGTGAAGCCATAAACCTCTAATTTAATTTCTATAGTCTCTGACAGTCTCTCTTGAATTCTGATTTTATACCTGTCATGTATATATTACACGTCTAGAATAAACTAGCAAATCAGTAGAAATCTTGCTACTGCAAGAAAAGTGCATTAAGTGTGAAACTGAAAAATTTTGAATCCTCAGCAGTGCCAAATGTAGAATCATTTTTTGGTATACTACTTTCATCATCCACTTTCTAGAAGCATGTTTATAGACAGCTTTTGAACAAAATACCTGTGATTCCTCTATCTTGTAACTTTCCTCTGTTCTTCAAATCCTGAGAAATTTTCTTAAGAAAATGCCAACTCACAGAAGTACTCAAAAATAAATTTTAAAAAGTTTTAAAGTAAGTGCTATCTGGATTATAGCCCTATATTGCTATAATGAAGTTGCTCAGCAAGTTGCAAACAAAGAGCTAGAGGGAAAAGATGCATTAAATACAATTTCTAAGCTTTGCCATCTGAGAAGCAAAGACAAGCAAAGAGACCACAGCACGATTTAGTTGCCAATAGAGTTCATTGTGACCAAGAGGGATTTAGTCACCTGTTTTCTACTCGCAGCAGCTAAAGTAGCCTAAGTCAAGAAAGGAAGGAGAACGCTGGGAACATTCTTTTCAGTACAGATCATGACTGCTTTTCTCCTCTTTATTTATTCAAATATATTAACTGATTCTGCACTTCTATTAAAATCCAGCTGCTGATGTAATGAATCTGAAAATACAAAACTGGAAATATGAAGACAAATCTAACAAACTTAAAAATTCTGACATAAAAAAAAGCCCTTGAGGGAGCGTCATGCTACTTTGTTCACAAATCAGTGTGCAGTGCTGTTTTCCTCTGCAAACAGCAACCATTTATGAATGCTGATATTTTGGTATCCATTCTTTCCTTGAGGCATTTATGCTTAAAAACTATCCTCCATATAAAGAAGGGGCTTTTAAAACCAGCAGGACACTGCTATTTTTGTGACAGCTTCAAGTAATGAATCACCAGGGATCAAGTAATAGAGCTAAGAAGGGAAATGAGCTCACAGTGAGAATTAACTTGAGACAAATGATTATTTAGGCTCCAGAAACACAAACAACATCGCTCAATCACAAGAGACTTGTTTTGGTTTTTTTTTGGGGGGTGGGGTGGGGGCAGCCTCTTGTTTTTTTTTTTTCCCCACACTTGCAAACAAACTGAAATAGCACTGATCTCCAAGCTGCAGACTTGTCTTTACTACTTCAGGTTAAATACCACAAGTTTCTGATACCTTTCAATGAGCAGGCATCTCACCACCCATGTATGCTAAACATCCATATTTAACTTCAAAATACTAAGTCTAAACACATTTGTGACCCCACAGGACTGCATTTTAGTCCCCTCTTCTGCCCTACTTAATTATTTGAAATAATCTTATGGAAAATAAGACATGAGTTTTCTGGAGGCCAAAGTAAAAAAAATTCTAAATAAAATGGTGATTTGAAGGTTTTCATTTCAGAAACAACAGTAGTACTTAACAGAAGAGGGCAGCAAACAATCCAATGCAACTTGTCCTTTTTAGATAGGTTTCTTACATAGGGTCTAACCTTACTGCACAGCCATTACTAATAACTTTCCATCTGCTATTTAGTTCTCTGTATACCAGAAACCTCTCCCACATGATCAATGGAAGCACAGATTTACAGTATGCTTTTTAATAGTTCTTAAGATAGTTTGATTAAAAAAAAAGCCACACTAAGGTCAGGACAGCACATTAATGAAGACACAGAAAAGAAAGTTAGTCACTAATAAAATGATCTAACATTGGAAAGGACAACTAAGTAAAGAGGACATATATAATTTCGAACATTGTTTATGCACACACACAAAGATGAAATACTTGACAAACAAATTTAGGCATTTCAGATCTCCTAACTCAAAATGACAATAATGGATCAGCCGCAGACCACCTCCACAGCACGTTTGAAGTTAATTTGTTGATTTTAAGAGCTTGCTTACTGCAGTCACAGATGCCTCATAACTAACTAAAATAAAACCAGGTTCATTTTGGAAGTCAGTAAGAGACACAAATTTCAGGAGAGTGAATATACTCCCCACATCTTCCCATCCACACAGACCGCTCATTGTTAAAAGGACATTAAAATGGGAGAGGAGAACAGATTACACAAGAAAAAACAGAATGCTCTTAAGAAGAAATAAATTCTAGTATTTGACATGATTACAAGTACCTACTTATATTTGTAACAGATACACCAAGTTTTTTGTGCTCTGAATGGAAAACCAACTTTATACGGGCTTAAAGCTGTTCAAATATCTTTAGATGGCTTCAAGCCAAATCAACAATCAGAAAGTGGGACTTTGGTCAAAAGGTCTCAAAGCTCAGTCAGAAGGTGTAGCTCAGCAATGTCTCAGCTCTCTCCTTGCCCTTTTCCCTTCCCTGGGCATTGGTGCTCACCTAATCCCTTGGAGATCCAAGTCTGGGGACTGATCTGGAGAAACTATTTACTTTTCTGCATATGGTGAATTTTCTGATGGTTTAGCTCTCTGAATCAGTTCCCTGAAAAGTCAGACGCGCAGCAGTCCAAGGAAAAGAGCGGAAATATTGGACTGTGGCATGTGGGAAAAAAGCAGATAACCAGGATTGTGGCAGTGCCAATTTAAACAGCTTAAATGGTCATAAGCTGTACCCTAAAAGATACACACTATATCTACATAAATCTAACAAAAAATGCCCTAATGGTATATGCAGTTATTTCCTCCTAAGATAGATGCTTATTATCATCTCTATTTCAAACCCCTGACATTAACGCAAATAGCAATTAATGCTATTTGATTTAATTGCAAACTTCCCAAGCTTTTAAAGTACTTTAACTTGCAAAGGCCTTTATTTATTTATTCTTAACTCTGTCAGCCACTTAGGATCATTAAAACAAAGAAACATACAAAACCAAAAGACCTACCAATAATAATTATGAAACTGCTGTGAAAGCTTTTACTTTGTTAGGCAAACATTATTTTAGCTTTTTTTTCCCCTCAAACCATAGATTTTTTGGTTGTTTTTCTCTCTGATGAAGAGCCATAGCTCTCTTATAAGGCAACCTCTCTTCCCATTCCTATCTCAAGGAGCTTCAAATGTAATTTTTAGCATCTATTCAGAACTTCCATTCCCAACAAGCCAGACTAAGCAATTTGAAAAAAACCAGGTTGAACAGAATTAGGTGTTGATGTTGACTATGTATGATACTCAACTGCAACTGCAAATACACAGTTTCTGCACATCAGTAGACTTCTGTGGCTAACATAATGGAAGACAAAACGCACAATTTCACATGAAAGTGATTTCACTAGCCTATCCTTTAGCCTGTACGAAAGACACATGCACTTTTCATCAACAATACAAGCCCTACATGCAGGAGTTCCAGTCATCACTACTTGAGGACAAGCACAGGCCATCTTGCCATTCTCTTCATGGAAGGTATGTAGTTGTTTAAAGAGGGTAGGCAGAACTCTTAGCCTGTATCTTCAGACAATGGCATGTGGTTCAGTGAAAGCTTTAATAGGAAATGACCTTCCAGCTATCATTTACTTCGAAGTCTTTCAGAGTAAATTTATCATACTGTTATTTTTTCCATGAGATTAGCCAATATCGTAATTTGTCCAATCACTCCTAAAAAAATAAATATTCAAGCAGTTGTTCCAAACTCATTAAATGCTTAGAGACTTGTTGAGCTTTCTAACACAGTAGGTGTGTGCCAAGATACAGAACTTAAAAGAACCCTTGTGACAAGTGAAATATTAAAATGACCACTGTTATTATTCTATAATGATTTTAAGATGCGTTAAAACCACTAGCTGAAATATTTTGAGATTCTATCTTGAAAATAATTTCAGTGCAAGAACAGAAACATTTACCATATTCACCAAAGCGAAGGGACTCCCACTGCTGCCACTCCACAATGCTGCTGACTGCACGTATACCAATGTAGATTAACAGCATTCCTAATGTGGCATCTAACAAGAAGTTGATAAGGTACCTAAAAGGAAAAATGTAAAAGAAAACAAGGAGCAAGGGTCTGTTTTCTACAAGTTCAGTGTATTTTAACACCATGATTGATAAAAGGTCTGTATATATGTTGAGAAGCCAGTGTATTGAGAATAATAATTTATCCACTCCTGTAATTACATAGTCAGCCAAAAATTTAAATAGTTTTAGAAGAGTCTCAATATTTTGTTTCTGTTCTTAGAGTTAAGCTCCAACTTCTATTTTCATGAACTCTGGTGTGCATGTGCACATAAACTCCAATATTCATTTTATTCCTTTAAATTAAAACCAGATTTCCTTTTTACCATTGCTCAGTTCCTTCTGCATGGAAAACCTATATTTCAATAAAACCAAAGGAATAAAAGGAAAAGGAACAAAAAGAGAAGTTATCTTAAAGACACCTCAAGGAATTTGAAGGTAAAAAACCTAACCCAAAACTCTTTAATTCTGAAGGGGAAAGACACCACAACTAGACAGTTTTTCTTGCTGAAGGAAGGCCCCTCCCAGCCTCAACAAGGAGCAATGTGCAGTGGAATACCATGCGTAGAAGGTACAGCCACTGTCTAGGCCAAATTTCAACTTAGTATTAGGAAGAAAAGTAATTTACTTTCTTACACTTCAGTTCTTGTCCAATAAACACTTGAAATAATCAGGAACAAGCCTTTCCAGAAAGGACAAAACAAAACACCACAAAAAAACCCAAAACAAACCACCCTTCAAATGAACACACAACTGCTGCACTAATAATTTCATTGTTTCATGATGAGCTTCTGGGATCTCACCTATGCTTCAAGAAACTAGAGATTACTATGGGTTTCAAATTAATTCTTAGGTTCATAAATGGCGCAGCTGAAATTCAGAGCATCTTGTAAGTCAGTTTGGTTTATTTACTATCACCGACTTTAGCTGAACAAAACAGTAGCTGAGAAAGGGCCAGCTATAAGACACATAGTAAATCTCTGTTACAAAGATTCTTATTTGGTAATTCCAAATACTTAAGGTAAACTCTAGACTTATCTATAAGGGACTTATCTGCAGGGATAAGAATAGCGAATCAGAGACCTGTGGGCTTCTGCTGGCTGTGAAGACAAACTCATGTGGACAAAGTTGTATCAGAAAGTGAAAAACAAAGACAGAATATGTGCATTCAAAACAGTAAAGGAGGAGCTGTTCTGATCCTCAAAACCCCATTCAAGAGCAGTTCAAATAAAAAAAATGAAGCGGATATACCTTGCTTCAGCCAAGATCTACCCATAAACTTTCTAAAAAAGCTTTTTTCTAACAGTTGTGTGTCAACTCAGAGTTTTAATGAACTTAATATTAGACAAACATTGTAATCAAAGTTTAGTGCTTGGCAGAGGAAACTCGGCAATTGCAAGTCTACACAAGTCATTTTAAGGCCACAAGGGGCTGCTGTAAGTCTATAGCAGGAAGGTAGCCATCAGGAGCAGGGAAAAGAGATGTGCCAACACCTATTTCACATCAAATTATGGCTCACAGCGCGGGTCAAGTATGCCTGATATTCCCAAGCACAGCAGGCTCACTACACGTAGGCAACATGGTCATTCTGTGATGCACTGCATCAGCCCTGCTCACATGTTAACCGGTGCACTAGCACAAACAACAAGTTGCTGCCACTATCAGATAAATGGATTTGGCTGAGAGTTGAGCAGTAAAAGGCTGGGGTTCATACAAATGTCCCGGCATACCGCATACAACCAGCTGAGTACCCTGCACTACAGAATAGTGCTGCTTGCTTTTTCTATTTAGAATTCTTCAAACAACAACCCATCTGTCGCGGTGTTTTAACAGATGTTTCATCAGCTTTGATATTATCACACACCTGCTTGAATTACAGCACTACATTCCCAAACTAACAAACTGCAACTTCCAATTGTAGTTCTTTCCAAGTTTTGAACCACTATGTTTCTAAAGCTACATTCTCTGGTTTTGTTCTGAAAATAGCCCATAAACTACAAAACAGGAAAGAACAGAAAACTATCCGTGTTTGAATTTGCTGAGTAAAATTATTATTATTAAAGTCACAGACAGAAATTGCTTTTACTCACTAATTTTGACCCACTTGCACACTTAGATACATTTTTCCCAAGAAGGGAAAAGTGGCTTTGGTTAATACTACATGCTATTTTTTTCTGCTAAGAAGGACCTGCACCTTTGTCTGAGAAGTTACACAGCTCTACATTGTAATTTTTGTTATCCTGAGAACAGTGAATAACAGTTCTTTACCTCACCCTCTTACTTGTTTTGTGTCATGTTACACTTACATGAAAAGTTGTATTTGAAAATAAAGTTACATAGACTATATTAAAACATGTAAGAGAGAACTCAAGTCTTAGTAAGCCTTTTATTCTGAAAACTCAGTACACAGCACAAAGTTATTTTTAATTTTAAAATACTGTAATAAACCATTGAGCTTTACGTTTAAACACTGACAATTTTAGACATGCTTTGGTTAGCTTACTTGATTATATATTTTAACATATAAAAATGGAATGAAAGCAATTTACACCTGCCAGTTTTTAAATTTATCAGGAAATTCTTAAATCAATAAGCAAGGAAAATCCTACAATGATGCCTGGTTTTATTGAAAATGTCATAATTATAACTTAAACTTTACAGTTAGTGTGGTAACATAAATGCATTTTCCCTACCGAAATGCTTTGTGGTGGGAAGACAACAGCAGTGTTTTACTTGCACATTTATATCACGTAGGAACACAAAAGAAACCAAGGAAGAATAAGGGAAATAAAACAGGCTTGTGAAGCAATACAAGCATATTCCTTGAGCTGTGTAGCTCCTTTGTTTACCAAAGGACAACTGAGCAGATGCCATTCATTCAAGGAACTGGATTGGTTTTAAAGGGCAAATTACTAGGCTTTTAAAAGTAATTTCACAGCTTCTATTACCAGGAATGTGTAAGCTTCTTTGAGCATAAACTCTATCAAGAACAAACCCAAATAATTACCATTTGCTTCAGGAGCTCCTGTAAAGACCCTGATGGGGTCTTAGTCATAAAATCTTCAGGTTTAATATACTATAGTGAAATGCTTATCTACTTAGTCACACTGCTCCAAGCGTGACATTGCAAAATTAATTTTTTATACTAACTGCCTGGGTACCAAGCAAGATTTCCTGCTTTTAACAAAATGAAAATAATACTGCAGTAGCTAATGTAGGTTTTAGAAGAAAATACAAGCATGAATGATTTTTGCTAAATATCCCTGAAAGCAACCTGACTTCACATTAAAGCCTTGCTGCAGTGAACAGTGCAGATGGAGGTCAGTGTACACAATTTTATATTAATTTCCTTTGGTCCCTTCCACCTCCCTCAGTAGATAGCCTCATACTACACCATGCATCCTAAGTCCTCATTCATTAACTGGAGAGGGAGAAGGAGTAAGACTTTACCCTCAGTCTAAAATATCTACATACAGCCCAGAAAAAGCTTTCCCGGGTCGTGCCAGCCATGAACTAAAAGAGCAGAACTCTGATCCTTGATTAACTAAGCTTAAACCACAGGTTTTTGAAAGTGATTGATTTTTATCATGAGAATTGGTTTCTCAGCTCTATCTTGCATTATCATCCATGTACACCAAACTCAACTGCAGAACTTCCATAAAGACCAATTACTCTGAAATTAAACACTCACAGTGAACAAGGGTCTTCTTCTGTAAGGTCTGATAAATAGACATTTGCAAAGTGGATGAACAACATCCCTATGGCTTGCTTGGAAGTATCTAAAAACCTGTATAGAGTAAAAACAGTTTTTAAGACACACAAAACTGTTTACAATACAGTCAGACATTGCAAATTTATTTTAATTAAAATTCATATCTCAATTATTAATTTTTTCTTCAAATGAGAACACCAGAATGATAAAGTGTCATAGTACTTAGCTTATTTAACAATGTTCCATTTTAAATTCTGCCACTTTTTTTTTTCTTTAATATTGCTAACAAACCAAAGCATACTAACTTGAAACCTTACCACTGTAAATTTAAAGTCTAGGGATATCCTCTTGGTATCATATCCATTATCCAAGAGCTAATCCTCACTAAACCTAGCTAAATCCTTAATAACCTCCTGTAAACAATTAGTATCCCAGCCTCGCTAGGTATTTCAGTTCTTCTATGTTTATGCGTTTTTAGCAACTTTATGGCACAGAAAAATAAAATCCTTATCATGTGCTTTTTGGTGAACAACTTAATAGCTGGCTAATGAGTCCTTTACCTATAGTATTTTGCTAAAAAGTCAACATATTTTTCACCTGAAAGTATGAAGTGGTCTCACTGAATTTTTATCTGTAGTACATCAGCTTAGACCACACTGCAAAAGAATTACAGCCTTGAAAGCATTATCTCCAAAGTAGATGACAGAGTTGGTGAAAAAATAGTTAGCTACTTACAGGGAAAATAGAAAAAAAACCACTTAGGTACTGTTTCAGTATTGACTCCAGCCCTTACCATTCTTTTATCATCATCCTTTGCACAAACCCCAAAACATCCAGTGAATATTTTATTAAATGTTAAACACAGGAGTTGTGTCAAAAGTGTTCTGTAGGCAAGAGTGTGTTCTTTATACAGACCAATAGCCATTTTGCCTGCTGTTTCCATGTCTAAAAAGATCCAAAGGCCCCAACAGATCCAAACAACATTTTATACCTGAATTCATCTCCCATCTATAACTTTGTCTTAAACTTTATTCTCTTGCATTCATTGCACAACTTAGAAAGCAGAGTGCTGGAGATGAGACAGGAAGCCATTGAGTTACTTATCTAATCAGTACATCATACTATAAATAACAATACTCAAGTTCCAGAATAAGATTCTTTGCTTAAAAATTAAAGGCTATCACTGTGCTTCTCAGAATTTCAGGCTGAGGGTGACTGTAGTACACAAAGATTTTGTATTTATTTTTTCAATAAAATAAAGGTCAGGATTAGTTTTGAAAAGTAGCATTGTACGAGATGAATTTAAACCACTGAAGTCTCCAACAACTGGAATGATAGTTTAACATTTACATCAGTCTCAAAACTACTACAGGTTATGTTGGCATTGCTACAATCCAACAACTTTAAAAAAGTATTAAAAACAAATATACTTCTTATACCTTTTATTATTTTATGGTTTATGTATTTGGATCTTTTACCATATAGTTTTCTATCTTATATGTAGTAGGATAGCTACAGAACATGGAATTCTGTTTAAGCCCAGCTGAAAGCTTCTTGTAAGCTTATGTAAGTTTGTAGATGTTCAGATGCATCTTAGGGCAACTGTAAGTTTCCATCTTCAGGAGGAAGCACAACTTGAACCTTTATGTCTAAACGCACATCTTTGTAGAGGCTCCTGGAAGTGTTTAGTAAGAAAGAACAAGCAGGGCAACACACAGAAAATAACTTTTTGTTGACGCATGTATTTTGGTAACTTTTTTTGTTCCTGTCAGTCACCAATTTTGTGTCATCACTTTTTTTTTTTTTAAATCATCATATACAAATAATCATCCCTTCAATTTTTAAAACACACAAGAAAAAATTTAAGAATAAAGCATGCAGAAACATACCATATCCTCCAGGGACGTCTTTCATGCTTTGGTTCTCTGAAGCGTTTTACTAAGAAAAAAAAAAAAATAAAAATTTTGAAGACAATCAGCAACTCCCAAAGCGACAAAAATATAGAAAAGTGAAAGCAAATCATCTTGCTGAAACGTTACATTCTTTGATAAATTAGATCTTACACAACTGCATTTTACTTTGTCAGTCTCTAAGGATACATTTTTAAAGAAACTGGCTCCCTTCTGCCACCTTCCAGTTCCTACAGATCCATCGTCTTACTGCCAATATACCTCACATGAAAAAATAATATATTACCAACCACCATTTCATTGGCCTTAGCTTTTATGACTGCCCATCCAGAAAATTTAATTTCCGATAGGAAAGTATGTATTAGAAAAAGCTGTTTCTTTTGCTCACTGGAGACCAAAAGTCAAATTGGAAAGTATTCTCGCAATATAAGTGGCAATCTATAATATCAGAAATAAATCAAGTGAATTTATAACAGGACAAATATATCACCTGACAAAGCATATTTATTTTATGGATGACAAATAAGACTTTTGTGGGCAAACCGAATTACAAAAGGAAAGCAGGACAGATTTTTTCAGTCAGAGAACACCTTGACAAAAAGAAGGCTGATATATGTTAACATATTAAAAACTCAAAAAAAATTCCAGTATTAAAATTAATGACAACTTTAAAAAGGCAAAAAAAATAGATAAATTTGACTATTTCAATCTTGATACAGTTTATAAAGCAAATTGTTCGGGTATCTGACAGAAAGCTCCTCTGCACACCCACAAAAGAGGAGGAACCCGAATCACAGTAGCCCTGCCCGGCTACTCCCAGGAGCCATCAGCCCATCCCAGGTCCATCCCCACAAGCCCAGAGGAGCAGAAGCGCAAAGGCAGATGGGGGAACACAAATCACAGACTTAGAAAAAGGGATGGCTGTCCCAGGACAGCCTCAGCCCCACCAACCTGGGGTGACACCCATCCTGGGGAGCCAGCTCCAGAGTACCTTTGGGAGGGAGGTGGTCAGCGCATCAGGGTATGGGACAGGTGTGGGATGCAAGGGAAGAGGGCTTTGGGATTGCACAAGACTTACTACGGGTTGTTTAGGGTGAGGAACCAAAGGCAGGGAAAGGGACGGATCTAGTTGAGTCATGGTGGAACAAGTGTGGGAAGACACAGGGATAAGGGGATAAAAACAGTCGCTCATACATACACAGTGGCTGGTCCATACACTTGTACTGTCTGAGCTGCACTTTGTCTTATCTTCTTAGGAAATTCCATTTCTAACTCTTCCTGGGCAAGAAAACCTTTTTCCCTACTGGAAACACAGGCTCAGCCCTGCCACAGGTTGGACCTGGGGCAGTCTTGCCTCTGCCAGATCTGGCCTAATGCTGCAACATAGATTTATTTTCCATTATAGCTACAAGATACTAATTCCTTATATATCCTGAAGACAGACCAAAGATAACAGGGTAACGGAAAACCTTTCTACTAAGGATGGGTTTTATTTATGGGCTTTACTTCCTTATTCTGTCCACGGTTCCGTGTCACTCATGAGTCCCTTCAACATAAGTCTTGAAAAATAATTATTTAGGCTCTTATTTCAGAAATTATCTCTTAACAAAAAGAAATGAAATTTTAAGCCTCAATTGCCTTCCTCCCCTTCAACTTGTAGAGATTCTGTCTTAAAAGGCACAAACCATAGCGGGCGTAGGTCAGGCAAAACATCAATAGGCATTTTAACCTGCTTCTCCAGATATTAGTGATTAAATTAATTTTCAAATAGGATGCTGTATGTAAGTTATGCTTACCTAGCTTACAAGCCTTTAAAATACATTTTGGTTTATGAACCTGTCACAACTTTTTCAAACGTAAGGCAATTTTCCCCAAAGCTAACCATCCTCGTACAATACAGCATTAATATAATTACCCAAATGCCTTTAAATAAATAAATAAAAAGGTGGAGGGGCATTTGCAGGGAGCACCAAGCTAACAACTTGCCATTTTACTGTCATTGCTTCTGGCAGCAGAGAGAGCAACTGTGTTTCACCTCCATATAAGACAACGATTAGAATTTTAAAAGTGACAACAGGAAAAGATCGTACATCTACACCAACGATAAAGTTGTAATAGCAACATTTGCCAGCAGTTTTCTCTGTGAATAGCATGCCATAAATATAAAACTTCTGTTAAAAATAAGCAATACCCAGCTAAGTTAACCATTTGCTGTTTATGATAAGTCCTCCCCAGTCACACTATGGATTACTTTAATTGGTGTTCCTTTTCCACACAAAGGGAAGTCACAAAGAATCTCAAAACAAACGCAAGAAATGGAAGTTTCAACCTACTGTGGAGTTTGTGCAAGATGCTTTTCTGCAGACAAAATGGAAATTAAACTGGTAAGATTTGCATACTTCTCGGGGGGGAATTCCAGGCTTAGGCTTTTGTCTATTATTACTACGAAGAAGTTGTATAAGCCTGTGGATTCATTTCTTTCTCTCAAGTATTCACAGAAAAATAATTTTGGAAGAAGATACTCAAAACCAATTCAACTAACACCATTTCAAATTTTACCCATACCGAGAAAAAGATGTCAGAAGGTCCATGTTTCTCTGGCCAGTTCTGAAAACATAACATTTCATTTGAGTTAACATTAAACAGGAACGTTAACTTTGAAAGCCTCTACAGATGTCTTTCGGAAATGTATTAAATTGCTGATCACACCACAAACTTCTGTCCCGCAGAAATTAAATGAGACGATCTGTTTAAATGCTTTAGGAGTTGCTACCCAATGAATATGTACCTGTACACTTCAAAGCCCAGTAGATCCATATAAAAGAGGGCTGTTTTCTCAGCCTAGTTTCTCACAGCTCTGTGTCTGTGAACATCAGGTACTTTTGACATACACAGATATTGCCAGGTATTTTCCTACATACCCCTGATGCAGATCTGGGTTACACTGCCTACCCAGCACAATATACTACCACATCAGAGTGGTTCAAGTTGAGAGCTATTAAACTTCTCCCCCAGCAAGAGAGTGTGTTTTCTGTATGGCTGTAAACAGCTGGGCCCTGCCCTGTAAGTAGATGGAGCAAAAAAACCAACAGGCTATAGATAACCATACTGGTAAGCTCAGGGTCCATAGCACGTTTGCTATTAAGAAATTAATTTTTTAACCAAAAGCCATCACATTTTTTTCAAATAACGATTCTGTAAATGTTTTAAGCATCTATTGAATTGGTGAGGGGAAAGCAATTCTTCCACTTTCCCTCCCCCAAAATACGTCCTGATTGTAAATGCTCTCAGCCCCACTCACAGCTTCTCTTGGCAATCTGCATTGTCTCAGCGTAAACTCAGAGACGTGCACTGGTGCGTGTGTCAGCTGACAGATGGATCTCAATCTGCCAACTTCTCACTGTGAGGAGGTGGTACCACTCCATATGCTTCAATTCTGAGCGTTATACTCGCACTAGCAAGAATTCACCATATTTAATATTAACTAATAATGTTCAGAATTTCATGCTGAATTATAAATGAAGAAAGAAGTGTTGCTTGTTTATTCATTCAATGCCAGAATTTTTCAGGAAAGGAAATAAAAGCACTTCTGCCAACAAGCATGTGAGCTGCCAGATGGACAGATAATAGATAAACATATAAGGCAGAGTATCTCTAATGCAAAATTCAAGTTCCTTAAATTGTCTTCCCGTTTCATTGAAATTCTAGGAATAATTAATGCCAGAGTACTGTGGAAGGGTTTCTAACTGTTACTTTAACACAGGAGTTCTGCAATCAGTATTCCAGAAAACTGAAGACTCACAGGGAAGAATAAAGGCCATATATAAGAACAGAGACAAGAAACAAGGTAAAATCTCTCCAAAGTGCCAATATGAAAAGCAACACTTGAATCTCTACTTGGAATTCAGCCTTTCCTCCTCTCCCTCCTTCACCTCCTCAGAAAGTCCCACAGGAAGTATTTGCCTGATGTGAAGTAACTTCAACTCACATTTAAGAACTCCCAAGTGCCCAGATGGCCGCTCTTGTAGCAGCACAAAACTGGCCCAACTCAAAACGTTTGAAATGTTTCTACATATCACGTACTATCCCATTTCTTAAGACACACGTTCTGGCAGTTCACAATAAGAATCTTTCTGATCCCAGTAAAGATCTAAGAAGATTTATCTAGCTCATTAATTTGAAATTAAAAAAAAAAAAAAGAATATTCAACAAGTTTGACGTCCTCTGCAGCTGTACTACAATAACACTGCTCTTCTGAGGAGAGAATTGGGAATTTCACCTGTATTTCCAGTGCTTCTCACAACTTTTTCAAGAACAGGTCAAAGACAAAGCATGTGACAAAATGTTTCGTTTCATAAACCTCCTACACATTTCTGTCATCAGACCTCAGCAAAGTGACAGCTGAGCTAGCCAAACAGAATAAAACCAACAGGAGGAAAGGTTAGCGCGTGGGCAGTTTCGGCAAGGACAGAATCAGACCCTTCTCACAGGTGCACAGGCAATAGGCACAAGGAAACAGCCGCAAGTTGCAGCCAGGGAAATTCCAGTACAATAGAAGTAAGAAATTTCCAGTGAGAGCAATTAAACTCTGCAACAAATTACCCAGAGAGCGTGCAGTGACTTCAGTCTCACAGACCTTGAAAATTCACCTTGACGATGCTCCAAGCAAGGGAACATAGGCTAGCCCTGCTCTGAGGAAGAGGTGGGAGCAGGTGATACTTGGGGTCCCTTCCAACAAAAATTGGTCTGTAAATCTAAAAATCATCTTTCTGTGATATGATGCTTAAAAGTTCTAAGATTTGAGCGCATTGCCAAAGGACCAAAGTATGGCTAACTAAAAACCACACACACGCACACATATATATGTATGCACAGAATTTAACCGTGAGAAATCTGCTGCAGTTTGAGCTTCCATACCGTGTTATATCATGAGAGCGCTAAGTCTCCTCCAGCAGGCTGGCTTTGCTAGGCTTCCTGAATAACATGTTGCAACAAGATAGATCCTCCAACACAGCCCGCATAGCGCAA